CCCGGGGAAGGTCTGCTGAGACTGGCTTCAGCTGATAATGTCTGGTTTATCCATGCTGGAACAAGGGTCAGGATTTCTTCATTCTTGAGGCTGAATAACACTCATCTACTGATGGCTGTTTGGACTGCATCCATCCTTTGGCTGTTGGGAATGATACTATGAACATGAATGTAGAAATACCTCATTGAGACCCTGTTTTAGTTCCTGGCGTTTATACCTGGAGTGCAACTGCTGCATCACATGGTAGTTCTGAGTTTGATTTTTAAAGGATCTTGGACTGTTCCCACACCAGCAGCGCCATCTTACTTTCCCACTGGCTGTGCTCCAGAGTTCCCAGGTCCCCATCCTCATCAATGAGTGTCCCATTCCCACCCATGTCACCAGATACAATTCATCACAAGCCATAACTCGGAGGTGGGGACCAGGCAATGCACAAGGGGCCACAGGCTCCATGTGAACCACGGGTTGGGTCAAGCTTTCCAAGCAGAGTATTGGAAAGGCCACTGGAGTTGGCAGCTACAGAGTGGATGCTCCCCGCACGAGTGTGAGGCATTCCTAGGGAGAAGTAACTGGGTGCACTGTCGACACAGTTCCTTGGACAGCGAGGGCCCGATTTGTACAGCACCTGACGTAGCCGGCTGGTGGATAACACCTAAACAGCTTCTGTTTCAGGAATGGTGCTTAAACGCTACGACAGTGGACAGTCAGGGCAGCCAAGGCCAGGTCAAGTATGTATTGTAGAACGAACCACACAGAGGGCTTTGCTTTTGAAGGACAGAACCTGTTAAATGAGGGCTGAAAACCTGATCTGAGAACTCCCTTCAACAATAGAAGGATCGGGACCAGTGGTGAGGCCCAGGTAAACCAGACTCACAACTGGCTGTGACCAGGCTGCCCCTCACACTGCCCTCCCCACAGCCATCAGAAACGAGGTGATTTTCAGATGATGGTGGTGGGACAGACTTCACAAGTGACAGAGGAACCAGGCAGGGCACAAGCCAGTAGCCTCCTGTGCCCAGTTGTAAGCGAGCCCGGTCCCTCCCAGCAGTGCTGCCCGGGTTCTCACGTCCCTCATTTACAGGGGCACAGAGTGCCCATGCCTGGGCTTCTGCATTCAGAGGAGAGGTTTGCGGACATAGCTGCTGCCTGTGAAGCCCAGATGGGGCCCCACAAGGTGCTCCAGAGGGCATGCCACTACTGTGTTTAATCATCCCAACTTAGTGGGGTCAGATCTGCTCGGTTTTCCATCAATGATGATGGGCATAGGAAGGGGGCTAGGCCAGATACCTAGGCCCAATTTATTTTACACACGGTGGTAGCAGAGATTCTGCATGAAGCCTCCATTTGCACCTGTGCGTTAGCAGCAGCACTGGCTGGTCCCCTTCTCTCCCTAACACACCTCACTCTGAGTCCCTGGCACACACAGGCCTCCTTGTGAGTTCTGCAGGTTCACAGTGGGACTGGGAGAGTGGCACCCAAACCTCTACCACCAATGCCTCCAGCTGGATCAATGGGTATCGAGGGCCATAACAATGGAAGTCTGACCCTTAATTGGGTTTTTTTTTAATAATTTGGTGACAGTTTAGCAGCCAAAAGGAATTCACATGTCAAGGGGCCTCATGGTTATTCATTTGCTTTTGTGAAAAACAGCCTACTGAGCATATCTCAGGTCCCGAGCATCAGGCACGGAAGCAGAGTCTGCAGATGTGACCCTGGATAAAGACCGGCAGTATGAGGTCAGTGAGGAACATAGGGGCTGGCAAGCTAAGATGAACAAGAGGGCTTGCAGAATCCTTATTGTTTTAAAAACAACTGAAAAGTCCCCAGATCTTGTTAGTCAGAATGCACGAATGCGACCCTGAAGTGGTAACGCTCACCAGGCCTTCATAAAACACAGGGGGACTTTGTGCTTCAGTTTCTGTTGCTGAGGGTCAGCGGCTCAGCCTCTGGGATAGTTTGGAGTTCTCAGGCCACACTGCCTGGGTTCTACCTTGTGGGTCCTAATCAATAGACAGCTCACCCCCCTCACCTCTACCAGATGCTGATTGGAACCCACTCACCTGCATCCAGGCTCTGTTCTTGGAGCCGGGGGCACGCGCACCTGCTGAAACTAGAACTGCAATGGTGGTTTTAAATTTCTAAGCACAAAATCCAGGTGCCGAGGAACCGGGCTGGTTTCCTATGAGCTCAGGACTGTGAGAGTTTCACTGGCTCTTCCAGTCCATGCCAAATTGGGGATCCAGGGCTTGCCTGTGTGGGCCTTCATCCCTTCCGGAGCCCGCCCTCTATGGCTCGGCAGCGTGGTTTTGGCCATGGCAGAACAGCAGACTCTGCTAGACCGTGGCTCCTTTCCAGGCACAAGTCGCCCTCCATCTTCACAGCTTCCCCAACCAGGAAGCCATCTGCGCCATCTGAATTGCCAGAGTGCTCCTAGGCTTTCTTGGGCTGATGTTTCACGCCAGGAGCAGCGACTTTCCCATCAAGCACTCTGCTGTGTCTGTAAACTCCTGGTTCAAGCTTTCTGGCTCTGCAGACACGAGGCTGTGGCTCAGGTTTCATGGGCCTGAGTAACTCTGCTGGCTAACAACATGCAGCCGACCCTGTGTCTTCCTGATCAGGAGGACCATGACCACTGGCACTTCCAAACACGAGGAGCAGGCGAGGCGGGCTGCTCCGCCCTGCTCCACTGTGGCTGCAGCTTTAATATGCACCCCCTGCTGCAGAGAACAGCAGGGATAGACCCTGGACATGCCAATTAACTTCAACTGTCACACATCAGAATGGTCTTGATATACAACAGGGTTCTCCAAGCAGAGAGAAAACACCTGCTTATTCCAAAATAATTCCTAGTGGATACATTCCGACATTTAGATTGTACCAATCAAGTTATAGCAAGTCAGCGTGGGCAGTCATGCAGGGGCTTTACACACAGTGGTAGCAGAGACTCCGCCTGGATCTGCCTGTTGTGGCCAGTGGTGTGCGCCTCGATGCCATGCTGCTACCCTAGGAGTGTGTGGAGGTTTTTCTCTGGCCTGATGCCAACTGGAAATGTCCCTTTGAAGAGGTTTAACAGACCAAAATCACTTTGGCCATGTGTTCAGCATGACTTGTGCAGGTCTCGGACTTGAGAGGGGACTGTTCTTTTGCTAGTGCAGAGGACTGTTTTTCCAAAAAATGTCACTGGCTTTGTCCACAGTGAGCTGGCAGAGGGTGGGCCACCTCAGTGGGGTTCCATCACTGTGTCTGCATCCTCCTGACTGGCTGCTCTCTGCAGCAGACGCACCCATGCCTGACCAGTGCTGCTGAAGAGCTGTTCCGCTCCTTGCTAGAAGCACACGGTCTGCTAGACTTTCACCAAAGCCAAGAAACACTCATGGAACAACCAGTTTGTTGATTTCAATGGAGTTCAGGGCTCATCCCCAGGTCAAACCTCTCCTGTCTCCAACCCACCAGCAGCTCTGCGGCTCCCTCTGCAAACCCCGCTTCACTGCGTCTCTCTCCTCCTTGGCTGCCCTGAACCTGGGTTTGGCACACTGAGCTATGACACAGCCTTACCAAGCCGAGAATGGACTCATCATCTTTAAAGGGGAGTGAACACAACTTCAATATGCTACAGAGACAGTATGCCTTGTACGGAAAAAGCTTGAGGACTCACATGACCCTTTCTTGCTGAGAGCCTCAGCCGAGTCGGAATGGCCCCTGGCATTTTGCCAGAAGTAATGGTTGATGATTAAGATGATGCTGGATTGATTCAATTGTATATTAGACCTTTACTGTCCACCTCAGGCGCCTGCTACTTTGGAGTTCTCGGGAGGATTGCCTGGGGAGTTCCCATTGGCTGGGGAAGTTCCGGGAGAGGGAGTTCCGGATGGTGTGTTGGTGTGTGGAGGAGCCGTGTGGGTGGTGTTCGGGAGAGTTCCCGGGGAGCGTGTGTGGAGTGCTGTGGGAGTTCGGAAATAAAGTTTGTTCCTGCTTGAGTGGCTCGTGATTTGTGCCCAGCCAGACTGCGGCACTTTCTCCTTCAGAAGTCAGAATAGTGCACTTAGAGTCCACAGCACGCCATGCTCCTGCATCAGTGGCTTTGACTTAGGACAAGATAAAACTGCAGCAGGCCCCTGATGCCTTAGTGGCATGGCTAGGCTGACCCACGCATCCACCCACCACCTGTCCTGCAGGTAGCATGGACACTGGTGGGCCCTGAATATGCTGGGACTCAGGGCCATGGAACCCTGCGTCCCCTTTTCCTGCTCCATGGTCCTGCCTTGGGGACCCCATCGATGTCCTGCTTCTTTCCCTCTAAGAAGGGCGAGGCCAGGGTCCTGCTCTGGGGGCTGCTGTGTAGAGCAGAGGGCTGGCCAGGGCCTGGAGCCTGCAGCGCCTTCTAGTGTCCACCTGTCTGAGCACCGCACCCCAGGTTAGACTGGACTCCTGTGGGGACAGTGATCTAGAGCCCTGCGGGGTCTTCAGCTCCTGGCACAGTGCCCAGAACACGGTAAGAAGGAAGAGAGGGAGGGAGGACAAGGAGACTGGCATGGCCTGCGGTGTCCTGTTCCCTGGGAGCACCTGGAGGTGGTGTGAAGCTGTGCTACAGCTGTGGGGGCACTAAGGACACTGCTTAGTGTGCCCCTCATAGGCAGCCTAAAAACCACTTGGCACCCGCTCAGCTCTGCCTGTGGTCTCATCTCTAGAAGGCCAAGGGCTGTGTCCCTTGCAGTGCCCACTTCCCACCAGGTGCCTGTCCATGTCTTTGGCCCTAGCCGGACTGAAATCCAGTGAAATCCTCTTCCTGATGACTCTGGACTAGTTTTATTGCATGTGCTATAAGAACAACACGTTATGTGAATGAGATGACAATAAAGAAGACAACCCGGGTACATTATGTGAACCCAGCCCCAGTTAACCCGGCTGTAAAACGGGACGCCATGCCTTACCTACCAAGGACACCGTAGGGATTCAATAATGAGACAAGAAGCACAGAAGAGGGTCTGGCACAGAGCAGGTACTAATAAATACTAGTTACTCTTTACTTTAAATCAGCCTGGGATTCTCTAACAAGGCAGCTAAACGGTATTCAGTATACAATAAGATCTTAAATGACCCAAAATAAATCCACAGACTGTTGACAGATCATAAAAGGTCTACATCCACCCGACAAGGCTGTTGCTTACGTGGACTTCTTTTGAACATTTATTAAAAAAGCAAAATGTATATTCATCTCAAATATAACAATTAAAAATGGTAAAGCAATACCAACAACTCGCTCCTCGCAGCCTCCAGCCGTGGTCCCCCCCAGTGGCCTCTCTGCCCTGGGTGTGCCCCGTCCTCCCCGAGCTGTCTGCTGCCTCCCTCCTCCTCATAGTGCAGGTAAGACCACATCTTATAAAATTAACAATTCAAGGTTAAATAAGCTTAAATAAGGGTGTTAAATACAAGACACATCATCAGAGCTTCTGTACAAAGATACACGGATGTGGCACTGCCCACGGGAGCCCCTGGCTCCCAGCACACAGGCAGCTCCAGTGTGAGTGGATCTCTCGTTCCAGCAAAGCAACTATACACAGTGAGCTAAGAGTCGAGCGACTACAGACCACTCGGCGAGCCATTTACAAGGCATAGTATCTTTTTTAAAAAATCAGAACACTGTTAATATTCAGGCACCATTTGTTCCTGCAAATAAATAAGTCTCTACAGTAACTGCATTCGAACTAGTGTTAGGCCAGTGCTTCCCCATGAAGCTTTCCAACTACTGACTAAGCCTCCCTCTTTATTGCTATGATAATGTGGCTGTGGAAATAAAGCTACTGTACATCCAAAAAAATAGAGCACCTTTACCATTAAAGTGTACATCTGACTGTTCGTCTCCGTGTCTACTTTACAACACTAACACCCAAAGAGGGCCCTGCTCGGCATCGCCTCAGCGGCTGGCACTAGAAATGGAGCCTGCCTCTGCCTCCAAGGTGAGCCAGGTGAGCCCAGCCAGGCCCCACTTCAGAGCCCGAGGAGGGTCTCAGTGGACGAGGCTCACGTCCCCGCCCTGTGAGTTACACTCATCTGCACTTCACTGCTTCCTCTGTGGCTGCCTGGAGGAGCCAGGCCCCATCCTGCTGGGGTGAATGGCACTGCACGGGATGGAACAGCAAACGCTATGCTTGGTGACAGCACACTCAGGACCCTGCTGCGGCTGGGGGGGCAGCAGCAGGCCCCGTGGCCCGGCGAGGCGCTGGCTAGGACTTCTTGTCCACAGTGCTGAAGAACCACTCGGTGAACCTGCGCAGCTGGGCAGCGGCCGTCTGGGACTCCTCCTGCAGCCGCAGGTTGTCCTCCCGCAGGTGCTGCACCTCGGCCTGCAGCACGGCCTTGTCCTGCTTCTCCTGCAGGAACACACCAATGTCAGGGGCTGGCCCTTGCTCCCTGGGGGCCTGGGAGTCCCTGCTCTCACTTTTCCTGACCTCTGGGAGGGGGCGTGCTTCCTTCAGGGAGGGGACCTGCTAATGACAAAGGGACGGGTGAGCAGTCCACTGCCTCTCCGCTTACCCCACCACGCTCCTGCTCCTTCATGACCAGGGTGCCCGCCATCTTCTACCCAGAGGGAGATCACAGCAGGCAGCTGGGAGGGAAACCTGATGTGCCTGAGCTTCCCAAGCAGCCTCCCGCTACAAAGGACAGAAGCCATGTGCCCCTGGTGTGCTCAGTGACCAGAGGGCCTTTCATTCCCTTACATGCTTTCTGGCTACATTATATTTCCACACTGATCTTTAAAAATGTGCCACTCAAAACTATGTAAGAATGATTAAAAAGTTCAGAGCAGTCCCACCAGGAGTTTGCAACACACAGTGACAAGAAGCGTAAAGCCCCAGCCCCAGCTCTATGGGGCTGAGAGACCTTTGCCCCACTGGAGCTTGGCAGCGGCTGCCAGAGGGATCTGACTAGACCACTGGTCCACCAGCGGCCCTGCAGTGCTGTGTGGGCATGGCCAAGTGGGGCGTGGCTGGCCAGGGGCTGTTCCTGCTCTTGGTGCCTCTGGCCCCATCCTCAGGTCCCCCTATTCCTTCCAGGCTCTCCTCTGCGCTGGAAGTTCTGGTCTTAAGAGGCAGCTGAAGTGACTTTCCCCAAGGCTGACGCAGTTTTCCTGGGATCCTGCTCTCCTCAGCCAGACCCCACCTCAGCTCAGATCACCCCACTGCCCCTCAGCAGCCACCTTCCCACTGTCCTTGGGACCCCGCAAACTTGCGCTCTTGTCAGTAAGGCCAGTACTCAACCTCTGTCGAGGTTCCCTTTGCCTTACTGTCCATCAACAGCTACACGCCCCACAGTGACAGTGTCTCCTCCTCAACATGGACTCTGGTCCCTGGTTTGAGCACACCTCCTGCATGCCCAGGGTCCTTGTCTCTTTACCTTCCGAAGATCGGTCTGCAGTTGTCGCAGAATTAATTCCAGCTGATTGACTTTCCCGGTCAAAGTGGATGGAGAGCGCTCCCTAGCAAACAGGTCTAATTAGAAAGACTCAGGGGATGTGAGGGAGGACACCCCTGGTAAACCTGGCATTGGGCGTTACTCCTGCGTTGGGAGCCTGGCAAGGGGAGGAGTGATGTCATGTCCTACTGGAGGGAGTCCCCTCACTGCTCAAGACTCACTCCATGCTTAGGCACAGAGGTCAGGAAGAAAGCAAAGGGTGGAGTGTGTGGACAGAGGCCAGCATGCAGCCCTGGGAACTGCAGGTGGACTCCACTGTCCAGCCTGCCTGTTATGAACGTATCATGAACCTCAAAGGAATTTGTGAGTGAAGGACGGCTCAGTTCACACAGAGGGGAGCACTTCCACTTCCCGGACTATGTACTCATGAATGCAGGGCGGCAACGGGGTCTGAGGCTGGGTCTGGGGCAGGTTCTGGAGGAATCTTGCCTTTGGTGGGAATATAGCATGCATGGCCTGGCAGCCCGAAAGCTGCTTGGTGTCACTGCCTGGCACTGTCATGATGACTAAGCAGCAGAGGTTGACCCTAAGGCCCCTCCTGTCCCTTTCTGCCAGTGAGGCATGCCCCTGTATTATCAGCCTTGGCAGATGGGACCTGCCTGCACAGATGAGCAGCCACGTAGCCGAGCACCTTCATCCAGGAAGTCAGGAAGCCCTGCCAGTCCCCTCCGTCCCTCCCCTGGATTCCTGAGGAGTCCCAGTGGGACGGGGGTCCACATACCCAGCTGAGTCCATGAACTCTTTGCTGCTGCCTGGATCTACGCACAAGGACAGCTCCTGGGCCCCTTCCAAGTCCTGCCTGTGCTGCAGATCCGTCAGGGTGCAGAAGGACGCCACTCTCTGGTCTGGGGCAGGGGAGAAGAACAACAGAAGAGTCAGTATCAGCTCCAGGGCACTTTTTTTTGTAGAGATGAATTTAGTACAAAATGAAATGTTTCCCCCTCCAAATCAGTTATTTCCCTGTTTGAAATAAAACAAAGAAACAGAAACCCAGGCAAGCTGACAACGAAAGCATGAAGATGGCTGTCCCGCGGGGCTGCATGGCAGGGACAAGTGACAGATCCTGGATTGCTAGAGCCAATCTGCTCTCTTCTCTCCACACCCTAAGAAATGCCAAGCTGCTGGCTCCGTGCAGAAGAACAAGCTGGATGATAAGGGCCAGGGAGACGGGCCTGCCGGCAAGCTCCCCCAGACCCACAGAACATTCCTGGACCACCCGGTAAGGCGCCCCCAGCACCCCCAGCCCAGAGTGCGAGGAGCCATGCAGACATGCAGACACACAGACACAGAGCAGGCTACAGAGCACCAGGAGGCAGCAGCCAGCTGCAGACAGTCACCTAGAAAGGATGCGTGGTGACAGAGCAGCCCCAGTTCCTCATCTGAGTCAAGACCTGAAATAAGATCCAGAGTTCTCCCATGAGCAGGACGCCCTCGTACCCGAGGCTTTCAGGCCTCCCAGGCTCAAGTGACAGGTGGTATGCAGTACAGAGCACAGTGTGGTTGCTCAAGACAGAAACCGGGAGGAGCTGAGTGCCAGACAGCTGAGACCACGTGATGGCCAGAGGCAGGGCCGCAGTGGACAACAGAGACACCTGGCGCGCCACGCACGCGGACCCAAGCACAAGCACCAGTGACTCACTCCACACACTGGGAAGGGGAGAGACTGGCAAACCCACCCCCTGGAAGTCGGGAAGGAAGGTCGGGGCGCAGCACCTGCAGCTCCAGAGCCCAGGGCTGATCTGAACGGGTGTTGTTTCTCAGCACAGGCCATGCTGGCCAGAGACGCTGAAAGACGCGCGGGAAAGTCCTTCTCTGCACAAGGTGGACGTGGGCCGCAATCCACCCAGGACCACTTCCCTCCCCTAGCCCTCACTCCTAGTTTCTGAGAGGCACAGCTTGAGCGTCGGTGCTGTGGCAGCTCTTTTGTGTGGCTGATTAATGGGGGAGAAACTGCACTTAGGCGCACCCTGTTCTTAATTCACCCCACTGTCTCCCTGGCTGTTCAGTAAGCCTCCTAACGAGGCTACCTGCCTGTCTGGCTTATGGAGGGTCACACACTTCCAGTTAATTAAAAAGGAAGGCCACGTGGAGGCTGCCAGGAGCCCAGGAGGAAAGCCAGGGTTGCAGGTGCAGTGCTGGCGGTGGGTGGCCCCAGGCCTGGCGTCCCAGAGTCTGTTGAGCCCGCTCATGACCACTGTGGGGTTCTGTCAGGGGCCCCTTTCTAACATCTGCCATAGCCATCCAGATGTCCTTCGGTGAACCTTCTTGAAAGTCCCACAGGTCTCATCTTCCGAAAAACAAACACTGCAACACTACAGTTCCAAGACGACAACTCTGTCACTCATTCAGCACAGCACACTGGGACTTCTGCAGAGGATGGGTTTGTGACAACCCCAACAGCTAACGTGGGTGTTGCCCAGATTCACTCAGGGCTCCAGGTGCCCGGCAGAGGTGGGGGCAGAGCCAGGGCAGCCTGGCTGGGGAGGTCCTGCCTGCTGTGGTGTGCCACACAGCCCTGTCTGAAAGGTCCCCAGGGAGAGTGCGTCCCACTCAATGACCAGAGCTGTCATGCTCTTTGGGGAATTTCACTGCTGACAAGAGCAATGCCAAGAATGTCTCAGAATTAATCTCCTCACTTTCTCAAAGAGCTCTGCTGGCGCCGTCCTCACTGTGCGCAACCAAGGGGCACCTGCTGACGCCGTCCTCACTGTGCGCAACCAAGGGGCATCTGCTGACGCCGTCCTCACTGTGCGCAACCGAGGGGGCGTCTGGTCAGGCTCATATCCCACCTAACACACATGTTCTAAGGCCCACGTCTACATACCTGGGTGAAAAGGCTTCAGCTGTGCCAACCTTAACTGATAAGACATCCCCAAGACAAGTCTGTCTCCTGGCAGCCACCCAGATGTTCCCCGGGAGAAACAATGTCCTGCTGGTCAGGAGGCAGGCCACCAGGGCCGTGTTGCCACAACCATGCCTGCGCTGAAGCTCCTGTGTAACGTGGCCCATCTTCCCGAGGGTGTCCAGGGGAAGCTTCTATGGTGATAAACACTCAATCAAGTGACTGCTGACCTACAACCACACAGCCCAAAGGAAACCACGAAGGCCCGGGAGCCAGGGCTGCGTGAGCACACGGCACGTGCAGCCTCCCTCTCCCCGGCTCCTGTCTGAGCAGGTGGGGCCAGGGGGACATCAGCGTGGCTCACATGAGACAATCCACCCCTTTATTTAATTTAAACCTTGCTCCTACATTTTAAAAATGTTTAACACATTAACACTAAGAGAGAGGCAGAGTCAACAGCTACCTGTGTCAACTTCGGGCTGCCGTCAGACAGCGGGCCGAGCAACTCCCAGAGCCCACCTGGCTTTCTGCAGCTCTGAGGGCCTCAGGCCAAGCCTGCAAGGGCGGGCTGGGTTGTGTGGCCAGGTCCTGGCTGCAGGGATGGATCAGGACCACAGTGCACATGGGGGTGTGGCCACCAGGACCTGGATGTCCCCAGCTGGTGCTTCCCTGGCAGCTGGTGGCCTGCTGGAGAAGTAGGTCATGGGGGTGAGCTCTGCAGAGGAACACGGGGCACTGGCCCTGTCTCTGTTTCCAGGCTGCCAAGAGGGGAGCAGCTTTGTTCCACCACATGCTCCTGCCACGATGTCCTGCCTCACTACAGCCCCCAAAGCCATGGGTCCAGATGACCAAGTCCTGGAGCCTCTCAAACCACAAGTCAAGATAAACCTTTTCTCCTTTTAAGTTGTTTGTCTGACAGCGGTGTAACTTGCTAGAAGCCAGAGGCTAGATCAAGACAGCTCATCTCCACAAGCAGCGCCGTTCCAGCACACCTCTGCTGAAACCACAAGCCAGAGACAATCTGGGGCCTTGCAGCTCCTTCGAAGAACCAGAGGCTCTGGTTGAGGTCTGTGCTCGTCAGGCTGCAGGAAGCAGACTTAACCGACCGCCAGGAAGCAGCATGGGTCTGCAATGGGCTTTCGGCACGAAGTGCTCTGGGTCACACTATGGCCACTGACTGGAGAACGCAAAAAGATAATGGCTGGAATCTCCGCTGAGAAGCAAGTTAAGGACAGCCCTGGCCTCTCTCTTGACTCGAGATGCAGCAACTGAAGCAAATTCTAACTTACGCTGGAGACTTAGACTTTGATTTCCTCTATATTGACATTCACCTTGCAGTTTTCTTCTTGTGCAGTCACCTTTCTTTTTTTCTTTCCTCTAATCATGTTACTGTGAGGAGCACCCAGCCTGTCACCCACCGTTCCCTTATGCTGGTGTACACACACGTGCACATCACACATCACTAAATTGACGTCATCAGCTTTAAGCTGAAACTTTAGAATTGAAAAAGTTCTCATTACGAAAGTTTATGGTTACCATGGGATCTAAGAAACCGAGGGCCCACAGGGCATAAGCTACAGCACAGAAAGCTGTTTTGGAGAGGATGTTTATGCGGTCATCTTACTCCTGCTGCAGTGCCTGAACTGCCCCGATGGCTTTGGGGACATGGTGGCGGTTGCCAGCCATGGAAAATGTGGAGCGGCGGATCACAGGTCTCCTCGGCTGGGGGTGTGGAATCCCGACTCTGACCACCCGCTTGCTATTTCTCCTTTCAAGGATGCTTCTGGTCACATCTATGCCACAAATGCTCCAAACTACACTTGATATGTGGGAGCTGCTCAGGGCTTCTAGAGAGACTCCACTCCCGCCCCCCCCGCCCCCCCCCCCCCACAATGGTTGAGCCACAGCCAGCTTTCCCAGTGGATCTGTCCCTGTCTCCAAACCTGAGGGGGTGGAGACTACGGCAGAGCACCCCATGCTTGGGATGGGGTGACATCCCATAAGCCTGTCCCAAGTTAAGCATACTCTAAGCTGAAAATGTATATAACACGGTAAGTCCCCCATGTGGCTCAGCAACACAGCACACAGCCCTGATGGCACCACTCAGGGTCCCAGGGCTGAGGGAGCTACGACTTGCTGCACTGCCTAGTGTCAGAGGCTCCTTCTGCATCAAAATCCCAATCCCAGCTTCCGTGGAACGCGCAGTGCTTCCACATCATTGGAAAGTTAACACCTGTTAGAGGAGCGAGCCAGGGCGTCCACACACACGCTCTCGTCCACACCCGGCGGCTGAGCGCTGTGCTGCCAGGGCTGAAGGGCCTTGCTGCACGAGGTCAGTGCATCTTACTTGGGAGTTCTGAAGAGCAAAGGGCAGCTCACCCCACTCAAGAAAGGAACTGCACATATGAAAACAAAGCCTGAACCGTGGCCAGCCAGGTTTTCAGCTTCCCACTGTGGCCTGGGAGGACTGCAGCTGGGCTGACAGCATGTACGCTCAGCACCCAATCACCTCCTCCTCTGGACCCAGGGGATGGCTCTACTTTCTCTGACATGTGGCTTTTGGGGTGGAATTAGGTAGTGTGTTCACTTATTAAGTTTTAATGATGCCACACAGTATTTCTCTACAGAACACCTTTTCACTCTTTTGAATAGTCACTTCTCAGGAATGAAGTGTCTAAGCAGTGGGGTGCAGTCTTCTGGGTGAGCTGTGCATGGTGCTGTGCTTGAGTGGGAAAGGAGCCCTGGTGCTCTCACCTTCTGCTTCCCAGAGCTGCCAGGTCGTTCTCTACCTGCCACAGGTGGAGCTGGTGCTCACCCGTCCTGCCATGCCCGAGGCTGATGACCGCCTGCTGGCCCTTGTGCTCCGTGTGTGGGCTGTCTGTCTGCTGCAGAGGTGCTGTTCTTTTGCCAAGCTCCCAAGTGCAATTTAGACACCCTGCTTTGCCTGTCACAGGTACAGGCAAACCCTAGCGCCCAGCACACCCGCCTCAGATCTTCTCTTGAAGGTGTGTACAAGGTCTGTGAAATACTTATATTTGATCATGCTACCTTTTATATGTTCTCTTGTTATCCAACAACTAAAGATTACCTCCAGATGGTGTTTTTTTTTTTTTTTAACTGTTTCTAAAATCAACTTTTCTAGTCCCTAAATCCAAAGGGCATACATAACTCCCTTTGCCATTTAATTATTGAAATATATTCAGATTTCTGTGTGTGCTCTATTTTTCTTCAAAAGGACTTATTCTATTTTTGAATCATTGCAATAGTTTTAATTATTATTTATAATAGATTTTTTTGGTTGAACATTGTTCAACCAAAATTTCTAAATGTCAATGATTCCAGTAAAAGTTAAAGGACATGGTTTCAAAGGGCAAGTTGGTTCCTTTGGATTTAGGGCTCTGCTTGGAAAGATCCCCACGGGTATCATGCAGTTATTTGGAATAAAGTAGACATTCCAAGGCTTTTGAGATATCTTTCTTTTTTGGACTGGGAATTTAACCTAGGGTCACTTTATTACTGAGTCACATCCTCATCTCTTAATTTTGAGACAGGGTCTCACTAAGTTCCTGAGGATGGCCTCAAACTTTTGATCCTCCTTTCTCGTATTTTCTGAGTAGATGCAATTACTTTAACCTACTTTTGGGGGGGGGTGGGGATGTGGCTCAAGTGGTAGTGCGCTCGCCTGGCATGCGTGCGGCCTGGGTTCGATCCTCAGCACCACATACAAATAAAGATGTTGTGTCCGCCGAAAACTAAAAATAAATATTAAAATTCTTTTTCTCTAAAAAAAAAACAAAAAACCCCCCTTAATTTTGGATAGCTGAACTGAAATCATTCTAATCTGCAAATTAATTTGAAAAGGACAGTCATTCTTACTTCCGTTAAGAATTTTAGTTACTGAAGTACTTCTTGGAACTACCTCACTGTAATCTAATGGTGGCTTGCTTTCCAAAGAACACGGAATTCCATATTCTGATTCTGCGGCCATCTCAGTAGGAGACTCTGAGCAACCACTGTGGAGAGTCAGCCTTTTGGGAAACACACCACCCTAGCAGGAGAGGTGGAGCCTGCGCCCACCCAGGGCTGCTGGCCTTGAGACTTGCTCTGACCACAGCATGTGGCAAGATGCTATCCTGGGACCTCCAGCACCAGGTCTGGCAGTCACAGAGCACCTGCTTCTGCTCTGCAGATTCCTAGCGCCTCCTGTGAAGAGTGCGATCACCCTGCTGGGGGATGCGGTCCCTGCCACAGCCTGGAGCTCCACACTACAAGGGAGTGGAGTCCCTGGGACGTGCAGGTCCCAGCTAGGCTCCAGCCGCATGAATGACTCTGGGTGACACCATGTGGAACAGAAGAGCCACCCAGCTGAGCCTTGACTAGCCTGTGGCATAGGAAATAACGGAAATCACTGGGGTTAGCTGTACATTTTGGAGTGTTTTGTGATGTAGAAATAGGTAACTAAAAAAATTAGCAACATTTTGAAATGGTGTATATCAAGTTACTTTGTCTATGTTTATGATCCCTAAAAATTTCTAAATGTCAATGATTCCAGTAAAAGTTAAAGGACATGGTTTCAAAGGGCAAGTTGGTTCCTTTGGATTTAGGGCTCTGCTTGGAAAGATCCCCATGGGTATCGTGCAGTTATTTGGAATAAAGTAGACATTCCAAGGCTTTTGAGATATCTTTCTTTTTTGGACTGGGAATTTAACCTAGGGTCACTTTATTACTGAGTCACATCCTCATCTCTTAATTTTGAGACAGGGTCTCACTAAGTTCCTGAGGATGGCCTCAAACTTTTGATCCTCCTTTCTCGGTATCCTGAGTTGCCAAGGTTACAGGTGTGTGCCATTGTGCTTGACTAGAGGTATCTTATCAATCTTTTATTAGAAACTTCAATCTTTTATTCAAAATTTTATTAGAAATAGGTTGTAATTCTGTTAGATATACTTTTTTTGGAAAGTGATATGATCAGTTTAATTACTTCAACTACTGTAACTTGTTATAATTACAGTTTTTTTTTTTTTTTTTTTTTTTAATTATACCAGCTAAGCTCTTGCCAGGAACAATGCATAATCTTTTCAATCTATTACTGAAATTTCATTTAAGTTTTTCTATATCAATATTAGACAATTGTCTAATGGTTCTCTTTTTTTGTGTGTATTTAATCAGGAAAGAATCCTATTATGCAAGAAGGCTGCTTTTAAATTTCAAGAAAATTTTAAACAAGGGCATCATTATTCTCTGAAACTGAAAACAATTAACTGTACACTTATTAGTTTCAAGTGGCATTTGGGATGTGGGGATTTCCAGATGACCTTTACAATGACCCCCACACTCTGGCCTTCGATTATTTCTTATGCCTCCCTCCCCCCCATTAACTGGATTCATTCCTATGTAGTGCCCGACATTCCTAATTCCTCTAAAACCCCCCTCCAAGGGCACCAGAGGACGCGTACTGGGAAGCACAGAGCACAGATGCGCGTGCTGGGGGAGGGGGCAGGCAACATGCTGCTACTTGGCTCAGAGGGAACCGGCCGCAGGCCAAGAGCCATACCAGGATGGAGACAGAAAGCCTCTGTGGGGTCAGGCAGAGCCCCGTGCCCAGGTCTCTATGGTGGGCAGTGTGTGTGCTGTGAGCTGAGGGGTGCTCTAAGCTGGCAGTGCCGGACAGACTTGACACAGGTTTCTTTCAGCCTCTCCAGCTAACTCCTAGGACTGTCCATCTGCACACTGAGTTGACCAGGTGACCCACCTCTTAAGCAAGGGCAGGGTCCTGTCCTGACCATATTAGGAATCTGGGTGGCCAGGTATGTCTTCTGGAGGGGACGGCAAGGACTCCAACCATGGAGGGGCCCCTACCGTGGCCATACCAGCCACCTGGCCTAAGGTTGGAGGAGCCTGCTTGGGGAGGTGGCACGTGTCCTCTCCCAGGCTAATTTCATCTTCTTTACAATTTTGTACATCTAAAATAGTACAAAATTGTACTATTTATTTTTTGAGTCAAATCTGCTAATGGTTTATCAATATTCAAAGAAAAACTGATCACTGACTTTCCTTATAAAATATTCACTAAAATTTCATTTGCCAGGTTTAGATTTATTTCATTTTCTTTCTTTTCTGTAGGGGTTTTTAGTTTTTGTGGAATCTTTCTGAAGTATCGTCTAGTTAGCCAATTTCCACATCTTCTTCCACTCCAATGTTCCTTCAGGCCTGACTCTGGCTGAAGTCCAGAGGTTTAACAGGTAGCATCTCTCCCATCATCCTCACACACACATAAAATGCTTCTATGTACTCCTTCATTCCTCCCAGCACGATCATTATTCGATACTTAAGATCTCTGAAGGTTGTTAGAGCTTCTTGCTGGTGTGCTTCTAAGCTACCTCGTGGCCAGTGATGGTCGAGGGGGCTTCCTGAATGCAGTGTGCAGATACCTGGCGACCCACCCGTGGTCACACAGCCTACGTCTGCTCCTCCTACAGTTGAGACGAATGCTGTGGCTTGGACGCACAGCGTCGCCCAGGAGCTCATGTGAGGACATTCAGAGGTGAGGTGATCAGGCCATGAGAGCTGTAACCTAATCAGCAGAGATTGATGCACTGGTGATTAGATTAACGGGGCGTGCCCCAAGGTTTGTGTCTGTCCCTCTGATTCCTGGCCACCATCCCTGAGCAGCTTTCCTCCACCACAACCCACCATGATGTCCTGCCTCTCCCCAGGCCCAGAGCTACAGGGTCGGCCAACTGTGGACCGAAACCAAGAGCCTGAATAAACACCTCCTCCTCTAAGTTGTTCTTATTGGGTCTTTTGATCACAGATCATAGCAACAAAAGAGCTGACTGAAACAGGAAGCCATGCTTGGGCAGATGAATTTGGTGTGTGACCTATTGTTGCATAGTATGGTAAATCTGTAACCTTAAATTTGTGTGTTCAATGTCGACTTTAGCTCTTAGGCAAAAGCGAACATATCACAAGATGAGATGTGTGGCATGAACGAAGTAGGTGTGGGGAGAAGCCCACAAAGAGGAATGACACTTTGGGTTCTGTAAAGGTCCTGGGTCTCACTTCCATAGGCAGAAACACTCCATTTCTGAAGGCCTACTTTCAAAAGCACTGGCTACACTTACATCAAAATATGGGCGAGAGGCTGGGGCTATGGCTCAGTGGTAGAGTGCTCACCTAGCATGTGCAAGGCCGTGGGTTCAATTCTCAGCACGACATATAAATAAATAAAATAAAGGCATTGTGTTCAACTACAAAAAATATTAAAAACAAAAACAAAAACAAAAAAACCATGGGCCTGGGGGACCTGAGTCCCACAAGACCCTCAAACTGCCTTGGAGAGCTCGACAGTGAAAGAGAAAGCCCATGGGCATGTTTCAGACTACTCACGGGAGCACGGCTCTGGGGAGTGGGGACTCCAGAGCCTGCTCTGTGCTGTCAGTAGAGCAGGCAGAGCAGGCTCAGGCTGCATCATTCTCCTCTAGGACAAACCCTGTCCCCCAGGACCTGAAGAATGGTTTCACCTTCTGCCCTACACACAAGGATGCTGCTGGCCAGAGGAGGCCTCTCGAGTGGCCAAAAAGCAAGGCTGCTGATGGCCTCCTGAGACAGACCCCGCCTGTTCCCCGAGGCCTGCTAGGCCACAGGTGTGGTAGAAGGGGTGCGAGAGGCAGAAGCTGCCATCATGACAGTATAGGAGAAGTTCTGAGTCCTGATCCTGGTCCACTGACTCACTGTGCATCACACACAGGCCAGAGGTGTCAGGAGCAGGCGTCTTTTCCGTGGCCACCACCACCTACAAGCTGGGTCAGGTGTCCCCCAGGCAGCACTGAGCAATAGACAGCAGGACTGGGGGAAGGCCCATGAGGTGGCTTGTCACCAGGGTGAGCAGATCATGCCACGTCCACACCTGGGGGATCGTATCCTGCCAAACCCGCACCGTGGCCCCTGGAGGGTCCTCCACCTCACCTCACCATGCCTCCAGAAAAGACATGGTATGCACCTACATGATCACTGCTGCTTCTCGGATAAGGAGACAGGGCCAAGAGGCAAAGTGGCTCATCCCATCCAGGCCACAGTGAGGTCTCCACTGGGAACCCATGACCAGCGCTCATTCCATGAGCTCCTCAGAGGAAGCTCCTCAGAGCCTGAGCCTTCCTCTCAAGTTCCTTCTCAAGGATGGGTGACACACCCAGCACCTGACCCAGAGGACGATGCACAGGCTCTGCCCCAAGCTGCCAAGAGCTCCCGGGACAGGTGTGAGGCCGGAAGGCTGGAATGTTTACCTTCAAATGCCCGCGCAGCATCCACCAGGTGGGACCATGCCAATCCCGTGGCTGTGTCTGGGAGGGGCATCAGGCCAGGATCTGCACACTTGGACTTATCCGACAAGGACCCGTCGGAGAACCAGAACTCATCTAAAGAGAAACAAGACCAGGGCGTCAGTCAGCATGGGCACTGCTGTCATCTCACAACCACAGGCACCCAACCCTCCCAAGTGGCGCAGGACACTAAACGTATCTTGCTCCCTGTGGAAAGGTCAGCATCAAGCTATGTTAACCAAAGGGCTAGAGAAATGGCAGTCAAAAGAAGCAGTCCACGAGATCAAGCGGGCAGCAGGCGCTTGGGCTCAGAGTGGAGACACAGGACCACCTCTTCCCAGCCGTCTCCTTAGCACACGAGTCTGGCTGACTGAGGACAGAACCTCCTCCTTCCTGACGTTTAAAGGGTTACTGAAGAACAAAACTATTGAGCTGAGCACCAGAAAATCGAGATGCCTCACAGACCAGCTTATTAAAAAGTGTGGTGAGACCCACTTTGTTCTAATTTTATGATTTTCTGTTTCATAGGATGCAGCAGCATGGTGGGACCTCACATGCCCTGATTGCACACATGGATTTTTTCCCTTTAAACTGCCATCAGAGTCTGGATTCTGTCAGTACTGCACCGGGGGTAAGGACCTGTTATGCACCTGAGGACACTCCAGCGTGCCTTTCTGAACCCGCCAGAGTGCTGTATGCAGCTGCTCATGGACACATCTGCCTAATGAGACCACTCACAATAATCACCACCTGGCTGTCTGAGCCTGCAATTAAGTTAAGTAAGGGACATAATTAACCAAATGCACCTGTAATTCCTGTTCCCACATCCTTTGGGGGTGCTGTGAGATACTGGCAATTGGACCAAGACAGGGTCTATGCATCTGGCCTTGTCATTCTCCTGACAAGCGCAGTCCTCACAGACCTCTCCCCACGGTAGGGAGATCCATCTAGCCACGCCCTCTCAAGCTGGGGTGCCACCAACACCACAGTTTTCTCCCAGCCTCCAATCTGAGGAGAACCTGGCAAGAGGTGCTCTGTGCATGTGCCCTGCCCCTCCCATGCCAGAAAGAAGAGTGACTCCCGCATGCTCCAGGTGGAAGCGCTCAGTCCTGGCCAAGGGGCAGGCCGGCAGCCAGGCTGGAGTGGGAGCTGGGCAGGAGGTGAAGGCTGGCTCTAGTTTAAGCAGAGAGATGAGGGACCCAGGGATCTTTGCTCCTGGGCAGATCATCCCTTCTGTCAAACACGCGTGGGCTGCGCTCCAAGCAGGGTGCTTCGCCAGGTGCAGAGAAGCCCCAGAGTGAGGTGGTGGCAGCCACCCTTGCTGCAGGCTTCTAAGTAGAGAGTCTCAGGAAGCTGAGCAGGCGCCACATCCGGAGGGGTGCACAGGCAGGCAGGCTGGATGGTGGCCTAGTCCCTCCTTTCTTCCCCGCCAGAGGGGCATGTCCCAGGAAGAAGGGCACACAACAGGACAGAATGCCACTCAGGTGTGCGAGTAGTCCCAGGGCCAGCGCTGCGTGAGCCCCATGGTGGGAATCCTCTGCCCTGGAGAGGAGGTCACCTTCCCTCCAGGCCCCAGCACTCTCAAAGGCAGACACCAACCCAAAACCTGTCTGCGAGTGCCTCCTTCCCCTCACCACACTGCTGTACCCTTCCTGGGTCTACTGTACACAGGTGGAGAGACAAAGAGCAAAGGAAGTCAAGGAACAGAAGGACAGTGGCCAGTGCCAACTCAGAAGGGTGCCGCGAGGCACCATTCCTCACATACTCCGAGGAGCAGCTGCCTGGCGTGTCTTGGACTGAGCAACTAAAGCTATCTCTGTTCCTGAGCACCCTGAGGTTCTAGGACATGTGGCCCTTTCTCTGAGGCTGGTCTTGAGAGGCTAATGTCCAGAAGGAGTGGGTGGGTGAACCTCACTCAGCCAGCCCCTGGCTTCTGCTTCCTGCCCTGGCACAACACTCAGGCAGGAGCCACCACTGAGCAGCACTGGTGACCACAGGGTCTGAGACAATCTCAGTGCCCCTTCCACAGCCCAAGGCAGCCTGGCAGCCCTCGCCTCCTCCACTCTTACAGAGGACCAGGAGCAAAAGGAGGGGACCCTGGGTGACTAGACCTGCAGAACGGGCCAAGGACATCAGCGGCATGGAAGCTGCCCCCTCTGGCTTGTCTGCAGTGCAGCCCTCCCTATGGTCTGCAGCCCCCCCTATGGTCTACCTGAGTGGTCCTCAGTGAGCATGCCACCTACCGAGCAGCTCTGACTGGGTCAGGGAGACACGGCTCAGGCCACAGGGGAGGGCAAGAGGCCACAAGGAAACACACAACAGGACTCAGCCGCGCCAAGCTCCTGCGGAAGGCACGCCCACATCAGGTGCCATGTGGGTGGCACCCACGGTGAGGGGTGCAGAGCAGCGCTGGGAGGAGAGCCCTGTGGAGCCTGAACCAGTGCCTCTCCTGGGCAGGAAGAGCCTAGTGCCAGCGGCAGCCCCATCACAGCCCAGAGCAGGGGCTCATCCTGAAAAGCTGGAGCAGCGGCTCCTGAGTTCACACCTGGGCTTCTCTTCTCACCCCAGACCTGAGATCATGGTGACCACAGAAATGATTTCTGAATCAGGGGAAATTACTAAACCCTGCCTGCAATGCAAGCCAGCAGTGGCCTTCACACCCCGTCCATTGACATGCTGCCTCACCACCAATGGTATCTGGACATTATGTGTCCAGTGAGCAGTGAGATGCAGACCTGCTCTCGAGGAGGAGCCCGGCCCACCCTGGATGCTCACTGTCGGGATCTGACAGGGCGTGGTCAGTGCAGAGCCCGAGGAGCCAGGAGCCACGGCTAGGCTGCACAGACGCCATGGCAGGGGCCAGGTTGTCTCTGGTTTCAGCTTATTGAACAGGCGGCACCCTTGCCGTGTGTGGGTACCAAAGTCCACTTTTCCAAATCCAGCTCCCCCCAGCCTTGGGCTAGCTCAGAGGCAGACACTGCTCTTCTGGCTGATTTGGGAAATAAAGCAACTGAAAGTCCCAGGGTGGCCCCAGTGCCACTTCACATCTGGAGCGTTTCCTGGGGTTTGAGGGGGGAAGCGGCACAGGCAGGGAAGTCACTGCCGGGAACCTCCTGGGATGCAAGGGCACAGATGTTGCTGCAGAGGACAGAGGAGCGCGGTGCTGCCTCTCTGCTGGTGGCCTCCCTTGGGCCATCTGGAGAGGCTAGGAAGTGGGTCCAGGACCCTCTGCCTAGGCTTGTTCACCAAGCCTAAGATCACGGTAGCCACCAGTGGGAACCTGACCTCACTGATGGCTATCTGCCAGTGAGCCTTCCTGACTGCATTTCCTGGTGGAAACCTGGGGTCTCAGCTATCCTGTCACAGGCACTCCAGGCCAGGATGGGAGGTATGGGGGAGGAAGGAGGCGGTGCAAGCAGGGTGCCTGCCTCTGGCAGGTCCTTCCACACTGGCTGGAGTGCTTTGTTGCTGGCCCTTGTCCCCTGACTTAAAATTGGCAAGCACACACCTGGGTCTGTAGTGATTTGTGCTCACAAAGTTATCCCTAAAATACTAGTTCATTTATCCTAACCCCGTGTGTGTGCATGAGTGTGACTGGCAACTGAGCCCAGGGGTGCCCCTCCAGTGAGCTGATCCCAATCTTTTTATAATAAAGTTTGGAGAGACTCCTCCTGCCAGAAGACCCACCTGCACCCCAGCCTCCCCTCTGCAGGAGCAGCCTCAGGCACGGGAGTCTCCCGTAGAGGCAGAGCAGCTGAGACTGGAATAAGAAGGCAATATTTGACCTGATAAAGGAGTTCAGCACTAAGTTTTCAACTCCCTTATGAACAGGTAATTTTGCTTTTAAAAAATTTCCATTCTGGAGCTTTTACATTTGAAAATTACTTAAAAGAAAAAGCATATATGACATCAAAAGACGTGCATCTGACCACCCCCCACCTACACGGGGACACAACCTGACGGGCCCTGAGCCGGGCCTGTGGCGGGCAGCACTGCACTTACTTCTCAGGCTGCCCATGCTGGGCGCTGGGTGGGTCCTGGGGGGCAGCGTGCTGTGGTAGGGTGGGGTGGTGCTGAACAGGATGTCGTTGGGCAGTGCTTGGTCCAGTATGGAGCTGCGGGAACTGCCAAAGGAGGACCCCCTCCGATTGCTGCACACACTCTCGTCAGAGAGGGTGCGGTACAGCGACCTCCTTGGAGACAGGTTCCCATAGAACGAAAACTATGGATAAACAAGATGGGAGTGAACGTTAAGCACTGAAGGGGAGGAGTGCCTCTGACTCAGCTATGGGGCAGCTTCTCCAGGCTTCCCCATTAGCTTGGAAAAGCTGAGCCAGGCTCACGGGCCCCAAGGCAAGTGCACCAGGGCTCCTGTGTGGTCACTGGATTGCAGCGCTTTCTTCTGACATTCTGTAAAGTGTACTTGTCCATCAACTAACTATAAGTGAAGTCCCATAAAAAAACTAATTTTGAATACTTATGCCACTGAGCCACATACAGTCAGGCTCAAGGAACATGTTCTTAGGGCAGGAAAGTCCTACTCTCCACTTGAACGTGCTATTTAGAGAGGTCAGCATTACAATCACTGGAAACTGAGTTACAGTAATGGATCATCCCCAGGTTTAAAGGAACCACGGATTACTGTGGGTCAGCACAGATTGGGTAGGAGAGCTGATGGAAGAGGAGCTGGTACTCAGGGACGTCAGGGCACCTGGTGTCCAGCTCCTCCATGGCCTCCCACTCAGCAGTGAAGCCAGCATGCCCACATGATGCAACGGCAAGTGGTGTCCACATGTGTGAACGTGGCAGGAGGCTAATGTGCTTCTCCTGGGTGCTGCTCCCCTTCTGTCAGCCCTTTCTCCCGACGAGGAGCAAGCACCATGGTGCATTAAACCTGTACCATAAGTAGGTGGTGGTTTGTCATAGGAGGAAAAAACCCACATCAAAAAGTTTATCCCTACAAGAAAAGCTGTCTGTACTTGCACCTGAGCACAGTTAAAAAAGATTTGCTATGACGAGTTCTTTTGGGATCCCATCACATACTACCAGCAGATTCCCCAGAGCCACCGCAGCAGGCAAGATTAAAGCAGCTGTGGGGTGGCACCTGGTGTGCTGCCTAGGCGCACACAGGACTGCTGTAGCCATCTCCCCGGCTGCAGGCAAGGTGGCTGCCGCGCCTCTCGCCACCCTCAACTTGACAGGTGCTACATTGAGGGGTTCCATTCTGCACTCTGGCACCAAACGTTTCTGTGCATCTCATACTTCATCATCTAAGTCTCAGTTATTTGCAGAACAGGGCAAGTGGGCTCAGTTACCTCACTCTGTATTATTTTAAAAAGTGGCTTAAGAGACTGTAATCACAACGCAGCCAAAACCACCCACAATAGGCAACCCTGCTGCTGCCTGTAAGCAAAAGAAGGCCCTGCTGAGCAGGGGGCAGGGGAGAGGCCCAATGAGCATGCCTTTCCCTGGGACCTCTGTGCACCTCTCTGCAGCAGAGTGCCAGGTCCAATGCTGGGATGAGCCCCGCCCACTTCTGGAACAGGATATGCATGCCGAAGGTGGAGGTGGAGGGGGCTCAGGCTAGGGCTCGTCAGGCAGTGTGAAGTTCAAGGACTAGTCGCGGCCATGTCCAGGCACGTGCCAGGCTCTGCACACATCAGTTCTGACTGTCACTCTACGTCTGCCTGAAGGATCCTGAAGCCATACCACTTGCAAGGAGCCACATAGGCGACGACTGCTGGGGCCAGAGGCAGCCTGCCTGGCTCCCAGCTCTGCCTGCCACAGGAAGCTGCTCTTCCTGAGCCCCAGCTAGTTCACCTTCCAGGAACCACCAATGGCAAGGCCATCCTGCTCCGAGCTGCTGGCAGGGCCCTGGGAGAGGACCTATGGGGCATGGTGGAGTGGGGGTCGTTCCCTGGACCCTCGTGGTGCCACAACCCTGCTTGCAGTGTTTCTGGTAACTCCAGAACCCCATGACACTGCTCACCTTTCTCCTCCCCTCCTCCACCAAGGGGCTGTCGGGAAGCATCAGTTTCAGAAAATCTTCTTTGGACAGGACATGCTGAGTTTCTGAGATGGCATCTCCCACTGCCTGGTGGTGAGCTGCTGTAGACATGACGTCCACCTCGCTGTACATCCTGTTGACACAACGGGACAGGGGAGTCAGGAGCCGCCATTCATCAGGTGCCTGGGTGGCGAGAAGGAAATCCGGTGGCCAGGTGGGCCACTGTGCCACTCTCTGGGTCACTGTGGTCACCAGTGTGCCAAATCTCACACGGCTTCGCATGCTACACAAGTCAACTGGGAAGTCAGACTTCTAAATAATGCAGAAACAAACCAGATCCCCAAAGCCCAGGATGAGAAAAAGTGTGCCAACTCTTAGAAATAAGGCCATGTTTCCCTTGCCTAAGCTGTCGGGAGACAGGCTGGAGAACACATCAGGAACGAGCGTGTCTTCTGCAGCAACGCTGGTCTCTGAAGCACAAAACAGAGGCCCCTCTTGAGGCTGATGGCCAATGCAGTGGCTATCAGGCTGCAGAAGGTCACCTGGGGAGCCTGCAGTTTAAGAGTAATTACCACAGGTGTGTGTAAGCATGTTTTATTATCAGTAGCTTCATAAACTTATTTGGATCAATAAAGCAGCTGTCTCCCTTGATTATCAGGATATGAAAATGTGTCTATGCATAACGAAGGACTGCTGAGCTGCATTACTGACTTCAGCTCTTCTGCAGGGAAAACTCGAGACTCACTTTGGAAAGGTTGACTGTGAAAAGGCAACCCAGGCAGCCAAAGAGTCCTGGGATGCAGGGTGGTCAGCAGTGGACTTTCCAGAGGTGGATGGTCTTTGTTATGCAGCCTGAAAGGCCAGGCCCCAGGAATTCACAGCCTAAAGCAGCAGTGAGCTGTAGAGCTGACTGCACACAATGAGTCAAAATGCCACTCTATCCCAAATGAGGCCACCTTGCTGCATGTGACAGCCTCTGGAGAATTCTTAGACTGAGAAACAGCCACAGGCCTGCTCAGAACCAAGCAGAACCATCTATGGCTCCTGTGTTGCTCCTGCAATTGGAAAGACCCCCTACCCCTCCCATCTCGATAGGCTACACTGGCCATATGAGCAGATAGGACTGATAGCAGCTCTGCAAAACTTTAAAAGCATCATGAGGAGGAACGGCATGAAAGGACAGAGAACCCAAGACCTGGCAGGCTTCTGCACAGCCTCACGGGGAGAACCAAGGTGCGGCTTTACAGAGAGGCTTCTGATCCTGAGCCCCAGGGCTGCGAAGTGCTCCTGCCGCAGGCCCTGTGCTCTGGGGAGGATGTGGGAGGTACCTAGGCTGCACTGGTAATGGCGTGGGTAAAGAGGACACCTAGGTCACAGTTGTTTCAGTTTCTTCTGTTTGTGTAGGAATAGAATCACTAGCCTTCTCTGCTATAGTACTAATTTTTTTAAAAATTAAATAAATAATTAACTAAACCAGTGTAAACAAAGGTTTAGTCTGTGTCAGTCACTAAGAGCACAGAAGTGGGCAGAGCTCGGCCCCCGAAGGGCCCTGGGCTGGGAGTGTGTTTGTACACATACACATGCAGTAGTCAGGTGGGAACAGGGCTGTGTGGTGCGGAGAAGGGCACATCCAGGAACTGGGCAGGGCACGTAGACAGAGGGCAGAGTGAATAATGACAGGAAGGCCTCAGCAGAGACGCTCCAAACCCGACTCTGTGGCCGGCAAAACACTTGGTGGGCTCGCTTTGCACAGGCTTTTAAAGACTACGTGGTGATGTCAGAGCCACATGGAATTTCGGTCAGGGTGTGGCTGACCATTTCCCAGGACCCACTGTAGTGACAAGACCAAACTCCAGACACTGCTGTGTGGCCCTTTGCAACCCTCACCTCAGAGTCATGGCTGCTGGATTGTGCCTGTGACCCTGACAGGTGAGCTGCCACGCTGGCTGGGAGCTCCAGCCCCGGGTCCCAGCACTTACTTGGGTCAGGGGTGGAAATAATCTCTCTGACCTCAAATCATCTCTAGGACATGGGGGCAGGATGAAGGCACTTTGCAGCCCCTTCCCTCCAACATGTCTGAGAGCATAAGCGGGGCTGCCAACTGCCCCACCTCGGTCACTAGGGTGTGGAGACTCCGAGGGGCTGTGGTAGGGACAAACGCCCTTGGGTGTGCCTGCTGTTGCCCAGGGATCCACAGCCCTTCCTCTGGATGCAGGGGATGCTGAGCCAGCAGCGTGAGACACACAGACCCTGGCTTCTGGGTGGACTGTCCAGGGACACTCCTCACACCTGACCCTCGCAGGGAGCCCTTTGTGATGGGGTGCTGCCGTGATGTCACCAATACTTCTACAAGTGCTTCCCGGAAGCTAGTGAAGCCTGGAGTGCATGACCTGGAGCCCTCACATCCTGCGGTGGAGACCCCAGGCTTTACTCTCACACCCACACCTACAACACAGAGCGCATGAGACTTCCTTCCTGAGGAGTGATTACTGACGTGACTTTTTTTTAAGAGTTCAAATCCAGTTTTAGCCCTAAGAGGACTTTCCCTTGATCAACAACATGATAGTTGTCTTTAAGACACGGCATCACCAACTCCTCCTCTTCCTTTCTGAAATGGGGTCTTGCTATGTTGCTCAGGCTGGTGCCACACTCCTGGGCTCCAGTGACGCTCTACTGCAAGCATATGCCACAGTGCCTGGCTGGGGTCATCAGATCAAAAGAGTGACACTGGTTCACAGACCACACAGAGACCCTCAGTCGCCTCACAACACCCTCGTATGCTCCCAGTGTTTCTGAAGTTAGGAACAGAGAGCAAACAGCCCAGTGACTGAGATGGCCTTGCTCAGCACTCTGTAATGCCATCTCCTCACCTGTCCCCCAGAGGCATCAGCCGTTGGCATGACCCTTACAAACAGGGTGTATGAACTTCTCCTCTTCCCACGTACACACAGCTTCCCTCCCTCTCTGCCCCACAAAATCTAACTCTGAAAAGGAAATGAGAAGTCCTGCTAGACTCTTGTGCTGCCACCAACTGAGATTCCAACTGCCCTTGACCTTGGCAATGACAGAACACACTCACACCACCGGGCACATGATCATGTCTTTTCTAATGAAGGCAGTTTTGTGGATATAAGAGCAAAGAACACAGTTTTTTTCTTTAATGTAAAAGTTAAGAAAAATGGGGATTTTGAAAAAGAGTTACAAATATCAACATTTAAAGCATTTAGAAAGATAGCTCTTGATTATTCTTAGAAAATATATTCCCTCCCCATCTCCAAAATGTCCAACATTGTCCAGAGAACAGTCAGCCACCTTACCGGGGACACTCTGTAACTTCAGGCTCCTCAGGCGGTGGGCTGTCCTCTGCCTTCTTCCAGCCAATGACATATTGGTTGACTGACCCTTGTCTGTGGTAGGGCTTGGACGCGGAGCCGGGAACCTGCTGACCGCCACCATGAGACACGATATAGACTTTGGATGTGTCCAGAGACCCACTACTTTTGGAACAGTGGGCCGAAGGGCTTCCTGAATGGTGGGAACCACTGAGGGGAGAACACACGAAGCAGAGGACATCAGAGCCAGTGGCTGGTGCAGAGCCAGCGGGTCCCCAGCCTTTCTGGGGTCCTGGTTCATAAGCAGGCTTGGGATCAGAGGCAGGGTGGCCTTCTCCACCACAGGCCTATTGGAAAGCCTCACCTGCAGAGGCCCAGGAGCCCATGGGCAAGCTGAGTGCCCCTGCAGGAGGCAGTACTGAAAGGACAGGAAGAGCCCAGGAACAGTGAGGCCCGAGAGGGAAGGCTCACAAGGGGCCAGTCTCCAGGAGAGGCCAGCGCAGACTCGCAGGCACCATTGCACCCTACCGACAGCAGCTGCAGGACCGCCTAGACACCCACTGACAGCTGGCCAGGACCCAGAGAGGGCGGCCGGCTATGTGTGGGAGCAGAAGGGAGCAGGCAGAGCCTGGGCTCCAGCAGCCCCACGCCAAGGGTGCACCTAGGAACAGGCCCGCTGCACAGAAGTGACCAGTCATGGCAGACATGATACACTGATCTGTCCAGGTTATTCATACTTCCACACTTTTCAAAATATGCAATGTTTTTAGCGTGACCTGAGCATATGTATTTTCCATTTATTCTATAAGACATACTTTTCTAATTTAGACTTAATTAAAAATGTCTTTTATTCCATAAAGTAACATATTTTAAATTTAATGCTAAGAACCAAGTCAATCTGATCAGTGAGACAGCAGAAATCTGTGCTCACTAGCAGTGACATCATTATGAAAGATTCCCTGTGGCTGGGGAACTTTCTAGAATGCTGGCATTACACCTTGCATGCATTCTTTCCCATGTTAGCACTGTTGTGCCAACTTCCAGTCGTTGGTATGGAGGACATGGTGACATGGATAACGTGGCCCACAGGATCACACAGCCCTTCCTGAGTACCACTGCTCAGGTGTACGGCTTGCTGGTCAGACTGCCAGCCTGGCAGAAGCCTGCTGCCCTAGGCAATGGCATCCTGCGCCACAATGATGAAAGCCAGAGACGTGCGTGGAGATCTGAGTGGGTGGGGGTCTGTTTCTTCTGCAGACCCTAAGGGGAGCGAGCCATGCCTAGGGTCAGAGGGGCATGAGCACAGGAGGTCGGCAGGTGGCAGAGGCACACTCTCCCCTCGTTCCCTTTTATTGCACAGGCCCTACCTCTTCTCTGAAGGTGTGTTGCGGGTGGTGGTGGTGGGGGGGTTACAGGCAGCACTGGGAGGGACCTAAGTGGCCTGGCTGGAGCTCTCAGTATCTCCACTGGCTTTCCCTTCCATGGGCCTGTGAAGTCCATGGGCCACCAGGATCACCCCTGGAGAAAAGTTCATAGCTGCACTAGGTGCCTGGAGGATTGTCCTGCCGCGGGTTCTTCTAACTGCCCAGCAGCAGAAGAGTTCAGAGAAGTCAGAGTGTGACTTGGGGCAAGTTATGGAAGCCTCAGGAACAGGGAGGAAAATACCATTCGATTCTGTCCACAAATCAAACAGATGCAGGTCTATGCCTGGTCTTTGAGGACAAACACAGAAAAACCAGATGGGAGGTCAAAGCCACTTCTAACTCTGTAAGCAACATCTGCCCCCAGTATGGCTGTAGATTTAGCTGGTATCTGTTCTGTTTCAAGTCCCCACTGCCAACTGCTTATTGCCCGATGTGGAACTGTGGCCAGCATGCCCGAGGTGGCAGGTCTATCCTGCTTGCTGTGAGGCCTCAGGAACAGGGCAGGCTGTACATCTGCACACGGGGCCCTGGGTCCCTGGTGCACACTCCCCTCAGTCCCTGTTATTGCACAGGCCCTATCTCTTCTCCGAAGGTATGTGTGTGTGTGTGTGGGGGGGGGGGCGGGCAGTCACAGGTAGCACTGGGAGAGATCTAAGTGGCCTGGCTGGAGCACTTAGTATCTCCACTGACTTTCCCCTCAAATTTAAAGCAAGAGAAGGGGAAATAAACCACACACATGACTTAATGTACTTACCTTGGCAATTAGATTTAGAAACAAGCCTGTCTTCTGAAGACAGACAGCTGGGCCAATGTGACAGTGGCCCCAGGCCCCTGGCACCCCAGGGCTGGGAGGCACAGCAGGGGTAGCCCTGCAGAGGCTCACCTGGAATGAGACGATATCTCACTGAGGTCACCCATGCTGCCCTCGGTGGCGCTGCCGGTGGCGATGGCGGTGGCATAACCACGCATGGCGTACATCTTAGCCTGCTCGTCCTCAGGCCCTGGGACGCTGGCCTCATCAGCCCACTGCTCAGCCCGGCTGTGGATCAGAGACCTGCTGCCCGTCAGGTGGACAGGGCCGAGGAGGGCGGCTGGCATGCATGGAGCCGTGTCGATGCCGCTGTCAGTGGATGCCCCCTTGATGTAGGTCAGCCCCAGCAACTCGGGGTCCATCAGGTCCTCCGACCCAAAGGGCTTGTCGTCGCTGCTGCTGGAGGTGTTGCTGGAGAGCGTGTTGCTGCTGGAGTGACTGGAGCAGCCTTTGTCGCCAATCTGGGGGCAGGGGACAGAGCACCTCAGAGGAAACCCTGGGCTAGCTGCCTCTTGCCGACCCAGAGCAGCTGCTGGGGCGTGGCCTGTGCCCACTACTCTCCTCACACACGGGCTGGGTGGGTGCAGAGTCCCTGAGTCATAATGTGTCTAGCAGTTTAAGTTAAATGAGCATCTTTTCTGTAAGTCTTTTCCTGATATTGGTGCATGAAGCACTAAAGCAGGGCCATGATGTCACCTGTGAGGGTTCTGTGAACTGGCACGTGACAATAACAGAAGGGAGGGGGCAGCCGTTTATGCAGAAAACACTTGGGACAAGTGACGGTATGGGCAGGAGACCCAGGTGTGGTCACGACAGGCCTCTGGGTCAGTCACAGCCCCCTGTGCTTGCTGCACTGAGCTCCCAAGGCTCCTGTGCAGACCAAGAGGTGACACACATCAGGCGCACCAGCAGCTGCGAAGCGCCCTGCAGACCTGCGCTCCGGGGGCCCAGGCCAAGCCACTCTGAAGCTGAAGACACAGAGCTCTGAGAGCGGCTCGGGGCCTTGGGGGTCCCTAGCTTGCCCTGTGCTCAGGCAGTCACGGATGTCACGACGGATCCTGTGACACCAGCAGAGGGCTTTGGCAGACCAGGAGGAGCAGGTCTACCTAAGGTGGCTTGGCCTTGTCTCCTCCCTGTCCCTTCAGATCCCCACACGGATCCAACCCTCTGGCTGCACCTGGATGTTCCCGCTGTGCCTCCCTCGCCAGAGCCCTGCGAGAGCCGGGTGGACACAGTGAGGCTGGCCGCAAGCAGGTGGAACATATGTGCTGCTAGGAGACCACTGGGGGCTGGCTGGAGACGCGTGGAGAGGAAGGAGAGGCGCAGGGGCCTGCGCCAGCTACTCCAAGGCAGGGGCTGCATTAGGCACCGCTGACAAAACCCTCTGTCCACCTCCAGCCAGAGCCCTGCCTCCGGGCAGTCTCCAGTGTGGCCGCCTCCTGGGGTCTTTGGCACAGTGGGCGAGTGTGGGACAGAAAACGTGCCAGTGGCTGTGATCACCACAGGGCCCTGGTGACTGCTCTGTAAATGGCACCTGCGATGGCTTCTCTGAGGTTTGAGAGGCTGAGCTGTAACCTTGCTTGGCTCTGCCAGTGATTAACAGCACGACCTTTCTTTGAGGTCCTTCCCAACTCAGGAACCAAATCACCCTGCTTTCCTTGTGTGGCCCCCTGAGCACTGCTGGCCATGGTGCTGCCCTACTGTGTGCCGAGAGCTCGGTCACCCAGGTGAAGGCTGTTGGAACAGGACTTACGTGCGACAGCTTACTGGGGGAGTCCCGGCAGCTACCGTCCTTCTGTAGGGCTCGCTCCTTGTAGGGGCCCAGGACCTTGGAAGGTGGGCCGTGCCATCTGGTCTCTGCCATGTGAAGAGAGGAGTCGAGTCTCAAAGTCCAGCGTTAGCAAAGGAGGAAGGAGGCAGGAGCCAGCAAGAGGCTCTGTAAACACGAACAGGACTGTGGCTCTGGGTCTTCTGGGTCTTCCCAGTGGGTGAGCCACGAGAGGAGACAGAATAACTGCCACAGAGAACATTTGCCACTTCTACAAGCATTACCACTCCACTCCAGCCACCACAGCCACCTCCAACTCCACAGCCACCACAGCCCCCAGTCACACCCTCCTGTTAGGAGCCCCAGGTGGTCTTCTCAGCATGGTGAGGAGGTGCCCACCGGTCATGGGTGGCATGAATGCCTGATGGCAGAGAGGGAGTGGCAAGGCCAGGAGCACCAGCGGTCACTCTCACCTTGGTGCCTGCTTCCTTCCATGGCATCCTCTCGCTCTCTGGCTCCATCGTACTCCAGAGGGCCTGGGCCCTGGTGCTCAAGCAACAGAGGGGACTGGCACCTGGGAAGAAGGCAGAGCTGAGCACTCTTCTCACCAGCCTGCTGGGGCAGGGATGGGTGGGGACAAGTGTGTGGGTTCTACAGGGGCTGCGTGGCACAGCGCCCTCAAGGAAGCTACCCTCAGGACACACACACACACACACACACACACACACACACACACACACACAGCTTGGACAGCCCAACCCCTCCAGAGACACCGGAGCACCAAGGATGGGAGTCTGTCTGTGCTGCAGGTCCAGGGCACTGGACAGAGCGCTGTGGATGCCAGGGGGGAGTGACCTCCCAGGCCAGTGCCCTGCCACCTGGGAGGACCCCCTGCTCCTGGCTGCTTCCCTTGGGCCAAGAACACTGACACATCTGTTGGTTAAATCATCTTAAGGAAAAGAAAATACGATTAACTCTAGATTATATCCAAGTGGGCTTTGTTTCATGGAATCCCAAAATAGGAAAATATAATCTTGGGAAAGAAATAAAGAAAACTATTCACATTACGATGTGATCCTTACTTCCAGAATTCAGGTCACAGGCCCTGGTGCATAGAAAGTCAGAAAAAGGCTTGCAACTTATACCAAGGAAGGAAAACCTCCCCTGTTAGTACGTAACAATCCAGAAACATCACACAACTCCTGGGAACTCTGTCTGCCCTCCACACACAGAGTCTACTTCAAAGATCAAGGGTTGAGTGCTATGAAGGAGGAGAGCTGAAGCCCCCAGCCCAGGCCTCCACTGTGCTGGGTCTGCATCAGGGTGCAGCCTCTGTCCTGTGGGGCGGCCAGAGTAGGCCACTCACCTTTCCAGGGCGTGGCCTCAGTGGATTCCGTCTGGGCAGCCCGAGTGGTGCCTGGGTTGCCATCTCCCAGAAATAGTGCCTGCCTTGGGCGCACTCAGCCAGGTGTGCTGAGGTGACCTCTGCTGCTTCCCCACGGGGGTCAGCTATAGGGACCCTAACCCTTTCCCTTTCTCTGATACTCAGAGCGTGGGCACTGTCTGTGCTGAAGAGGCGCGCTCTCTGATCTGTACCCGCTGCTCACTGAAAGCAGGTCTGGCATTTTTACATTCCCCAAATGGCCTAGGTGTGCAGGAGGTGCATAGTAAATGCTTTAAAACAAGCCACACTGGTTCCTCTCAGGGAGAGCAGAAAGGTAAGCAAGCAGTACCCGTCATAGCCCACTGGTGGTCTCCAGGGTCCACTCCCACCAGGTCCGGGGTCACTGGAGGACGACTGGTTACTGGGGGAACTTCTGAAAGGCAGAGCAGAGTTATTACAGGGCACTGAGTGCCCGCCAGGCACCCAACCCTGAACTGCTGGACATTAAACTTCACTTTCACAGTGAAGAGAAGGAAGAAAACCATGCAGACGTAAACCAGAAACAGGTGCTATCCTGAGACTTCTGACGTTTACGGTGGCTATCTACATAGGAAAGACGTACGGGCCAGCCCTCCACTTGGAGTTTTAAAGCAGAGAGAGTAACTCCCAGTGAAGGAGGGAAGACCAGGAGCACGACCTCGGGCAGTCAGGAAAACACCACTACCTCCTGCCACAGAACTCGGTGCCAGCTGTGCTTCGGCTCCCCACCAGAAGCTACGCAGAAAGCAAGACTGAAATTTGGCAAAACTATTTGTTTTCACATATCTACTGAATAGAATCTTGTTTATCTTTTATTTCACAAAAAATGAGTGATATTTGTGAAAACACACTTCATGGGATGTACGTCTGTCTCCTTGGCTATGAGAATCTCCCGGTTCCCTGGAATCCACAAAGCTCTACTGAAGTAAGGGTGCTCTGACCTTGGAGCCAAGTGTTCCTGCATCTGTGGAAAGAACCAACTGAGAAGGCCCAGGATGACCTTGCATTTATTGGGTGGACCTGGTCAGTACTTCCACAGGCTTACTCAGGGTCATTTCCCCTGCATAGGTCATCCAGTCTCAGCATGCCCTGATCAAGGATCATCTGCCAGATGAGGGGCGCGGAGGGGAGCAGCAGGCCCCAGGGAATGGTGCATCAAATACCCCGGAGCCGAGTTCGAGCCCAGGCAGCTGCCTTCTGGCCTATGCTGGCAACAGTCAGACCAGCACCTGACAAGCCATGCCAAGAAAGTCCCCGCTTCTGAAAGCCGCAGTGAAGACAGCAGGCGTGGGCGAACGATCCCACAGAGCAGGGTCACTGTGACGCTCTCTACAGGGCAGCTCCCAGTGCTCCTGGACTTCACTGGAAATACATGTCTTCTTTCACTGGAAAGCTGATTTTAGAATCAACTCACTTTGCCAGAGATGAGAGAAGCAAAGCAGAGCTGCTAATGCTCCAGGTGCCTCCTGACACGGCACCCACACTCAGATGCGGGGTCTGTCTCCTGTGCACCCAGATGTGCTCATGCTTTTCCAGAACTGCATACATAACAGTTCTGGGCATCCTCCCAAGATGGTCTGGAGGGCCAGTGGACAAGGAGGGTGGGTGCCCAATGAAGGAGAGGGCTGCGGCCCTGAGGGCATGACAGCCTTTCTTCAGTACCCGGGCAGCACCAAGGCAGGGCCAGGAAAGGGCTGGACTGCAATGCTCAGAATAAGCTGATGGAATAGAGCGTAAGCTGAGAGAGAGGACCCCACCCTGCCACGCTCCCACCCAGGTCCACCAGAGCCTTCCCAAGGGTGGGGACAGCGTTACCTTGTACCGTCAGGCAGCTTCCGGTCAAAGGAGGTGCTGCGGGGGATGGCGGCCTGGGCCTGCTGGAGCAGCTGCTGGCACTGCAGGCGGTCAGGCGTGCTGGGCACAGGGGAGGCTCTGGAGAGGGGCTGCAGGGCAGGGGTGGGCACCCGATGCCATGTGGTGTTCCTCCTGAAGGGGGTCTTGTACTCGCAGGGTGTGCCTTCACTGTCCAGTTTGTACTCCACCATGGGGATTCGGCATAGCTCTGAACACCCCCTGTCAGGGCAATAGGAGACAGTGAGGGGGTGGCCTCATGGAGCTGCAGTGGGTTCACTCCCCCGGGAGATTGACACACAGCTCGGGGGATGCCAGAGCTGCTTAGGTCACACCGACAGCAGGGACACAGCACATCCTGGGGGGCTCTTAGTTCTTCCCTCCTTGGCTGCTGTGCAGCTGCAGGCATCACCCATGCTGGGGAGGAGTGGGTAGAGGCATGGCTGCGGAGACTCACAACTCCTGAGTGGATAAGGAACTGCTGCCCAAACCTGGGTACTCAGGGGAAGGACCCGGCCTGGCACTGTGGTCTCTCCAACACTATGGGTCACTCAGAGTTAAACACCTTGGGGAAAGCAGTGCTGTCTACTCAAGGAACTCAAAGCCAGACACACTGCACCCCCATTCAAAGTCACCCACCAGGGATGTGGCCAGCCCTGGGTCCAGGATCCTCTTATGTGGAGCCCACTTTCTGTTTGTGCAACCGCGTCACCTGTGCCCAGCCCTCCAAGCAGCTCTGCATGAACACAATGTACTAAGCCCAGCTCGCCTCCAAGCTCTAGAGCCCCACAAGTAGGAGAAACACTCCCTCTGCCCAGGTGCCCCATGGGGGGTGCAGAGTGGCCATGGTCAGCTCACTTGGGGACCAGGCCTGGCTCCTCTGTCCTTTCCTATTCCTCATCCTATGACACCCACAGGGGACTCATCTACAATCTTCAGTGCCTACTCATGGCCCTGGGGTCTCACTTGATGGCCACTACCCAGCGACAGCTTTTCCAAGCACCTCCAGGATCACACTGCCTAATAGTCCATGAGGCACCCTATGCCACAGGACAAGGAGCAGGGCACAGGAAAGGGTTTCTTTCTCAACAGTTTTTATCTTAAAATTGATGCTTGGATTCATTTTATCAAGTATGTTTGGAATAACCTGGGAATATGAATACGCTTTTCAACTGTAAGTATCTAGCAATAAGCATTTAAGTTGAAAATTTAACTTCTGACTGGAGATACTCTAAGTGTAAAAAAAAAGTAAAAAATCTTACTACTATCTTACTACAGGATGTTGAAATGGTAGCATTTTTGGCGATATTAAGTCTTTTGTTAAGGCTACCAGAAAATCCAAAATTAAATATTCCTGCTATAGAAGAACCTGCCAATCAATAGCCTGGCCTACCCATAGTCCCTTGCTCATATTTTGTCTTCTCCCAACTGTTTGGTCCCCCTCAAGGCTCCTGCCTAGCAATTGCCAATCCCAACTTTGCTCAAATCTCACCCATGAGATTTGCCAACTCTGCCAAACCAGAACTCTGCCAAAGCCCAGCAATGGTGTGAATGTAAAAAGAGGTGTGTGTCCATACAGGTACCCTGGGTGGCACAGGCTCGAACAGCAGACAATAGCTGAACTTCAGGGCTCACTTGCCCCTGGGGAAGGTACCTTTTGGACACAAACCATGTGACTGCATGCAGAGGCCCTGTCTCTGGCTCGTGGTGGCCCTACTGACAGTCCAGGATTGACTGTCGGTGTGGTTCAGCAATGTGCCTTTGGCTCTGGCTAGCTGACAGGTGCTCCCGCCAGGCACTGTACACATGCAGCCTGCCTTTCTAGGGAGTCTGCAGATTTCCAGGGTCAGCTTGAGTCGATTTTAACTAATATGTACACGTGAAATCAAGAATATTGACCATGGTGAGAAACTATAATGGATTGTAAATACTTCATCTGTGGAATCGGAACAGATATTTGAAACTATAACTATGTTTCCAGAAACCAGTCACATATTGCTTTTCTATAGAGTCTTAAGAAACATGAAAAACAATCTGCAAAGCCATCACAGTCCAGGAAAGCCTGAGTGGCCCTTCTGCCAATGCTGGTATGGGTCTTAGTTACCACATCACTCTCTGAAACTAACATTGTAGCCCCCCCAGGTCACCTCCTAGAGAGCCACCCATGTGATTAAATGACTCGCCAGTCATTCAAGACCCTTCAGCCTGGAAAGCAGGATCAAGTCAGATATCCCCAAGCTTCCCAATAACTGCCCAGTGCCAACAGATAATCAAGCTGCTCCCAGCCAGTCTGCAGAGCTAACTGGGCAGGGGGCAGGGGGCAGGGCACAAGAAGACAGGGCAGTCTTAGATCTGAGCACTGGGCAAATACTCCATCTGCCATGCTGGCCAAGCTGTTGGCATCTAAGGCCAGCGCCTCTCCCTAGACACTCTAGGTCAGTAGTCACCCTTAACTCTGCGAGAGCAGGGAACCACTCCCTTAAAGAGCATGCCTCCAATATCAATGCAGTAAAAGCATTTCAGACTTCATCACGAAAAACAAGAACGAGACAAACCACCTCAACTGTGAACAGGAAGTAAACAGGAAGATACCAGAGACTAAAACACAGTGTCAGTTTGGAAGGGGAGTGGAAGAACAGCAAGGTCTAGCAGAGCCCAAGGCCACAGGCATGCAGGTGGAAAACCCAGATGCAAGGCTATTTCCCTGCAGGACCTGAGATACACAGAAGGTGAGTACCAGGCATAGCCAAGGCCATGAAAAGAGGGAGCTAAAGACCTGCTGCTGCTTAGAAAGCAGACCACAAAGGGAAGTTTGGCTCCAGGCCGGAGGTCCCAAGGGCACCTGGGCAGCCAGCCTAACCCGACCTCTGAGGCAAGAGCCGACAGCCAGGACTCCCGAAGGATGCAGCCTCCAGGCCTGGAGCACCACAGGCAGCAGGGAGGAAAGTAAGGCTGAGCCAGGCTGTCCCAGAAAGAAGGGCCCAGCCTCAGGGTTCCTTCCTCCAGCCCTGCGCAGGATGTTTCCTCCCAAGATGAGCAAGGGGACGTACAGTCGCCATCACCCAAGCCTATGGTCTCAGAGAATAAGGAGAACTCTTGCTATTTAAAACCATGATGCTGAATCTAAAACTATAATTCTAATACGACAATGGGAAGGTAAACCTAGAACTGTCCCAAAAAGAACAGGAGGGAAAACATTAGAAAACCAGAGGCCAGTCCAGCATCTAGCAAGCAGAGAAGAAACAGGAAAGGTGGGGGGGACTTGGTTGGAGGCACTGCAGAAAACCCCAGCACGGGGATGTGCAGACCAGGGTGCCAGGCTCCCAGGGACCCATGATGGAGGAAGAGCCACTGGGAAACATGTCACAGGATTCAGCCTCTGCGTCTAAGAGGAGCTCTCAAGATGACAGGAGCCCTGCAGGAAAGGCAGGCACAGGAAGTCCTCCCCACAGCTGAGCGATGGCACAGGTGTCGTGGAAGTCACGTGCTTAAGATTGGATGAAGACACCTGCTGGACTGTCACATCAATGGTAATTGGTGCTTGGGACAGAGAAAAACCAGACTCTGTCCTGACTCACGGATGGGGAATGGAACGGTACTACTGTCCTCAGAGAGCCAAGGAGGAGGAGGAAGATGACTCCGGAATCCCGCCAAGCGGCTAGAGCCCCTGACTTCAATGCCACCATTCTCTGCCCATCAGCAGACTCTGCCATAGCACTCCTGCTCTACTTCCTTCCCCAGAGCAAAATTCACTCCAGTTGACAATCTCTGAACTAAGCTCAACAGTTACTTACAGGTCAAACTCATTGAGGCCGAATTTACACTAGACGGCTTTATTTTTTAACAAAATACTGGCAAAGCTGTGGCTTTTCCTCATGGACTCACACTGGACACCACAGCACCTGGGACTACTGATTCTTCTGCATGGTCAGTGACTGACCTGGAAATCACAAACATGGGATATTATAGCAAGGGGACACGGAGCACCCAGATAGCCTCCTCCTGCCTCCACCCTCAGGAACGCTGGGTGGCTGGAGGCTCAGATGACCTGGGCACTGGGGTCCCTGAGGCCGCTGCTTTCTGAGCAGTGAATGTCAAGGAACCTGTAACCGACCCCAAGGACACTAAGTCCTGGGCCTGTTTTCTGAAGGAGAGAAACGTGAGCCCTTGGCTCAGGACCAGAAGGCACCGTGTGCCTCCAGTGCTTGTTCGGGCTTCATGTTCCTTTGGTTTGCTTCATAGAAGGGAGCAGCAAGGGAGACAGGCTGCTAAGTAACGCTGTCTGCTCACCGCATGCCCAAACCACAGGCTTCTGTGAGGCACTCTGACGCGAGCACTGGAGAAGGCCATCACATACCCAAGCCATCAGGATCAGGCTGATGAGCAAGCTGGCAGAAACCTGTGCCATACACCAGAAGGAACCAGGCAAAGTCTTTTTTTTCCAGCCCTCCCACAGAAGGCTGTGCATGTGAGGGCTTCTGAATACTGAAAACTTGCACTTGCACCCTAATAAACATCTGCTGTTTGTAAAGGGTTTTATCTTAGAATCAAAATCAATATTATTGTCCAGTCCTGTCACAACATGACTTTAGAACTGGACCTTACTTTCAGGACTAAGATACCCAACGCCATAGACACCAGCTCAGGTTACTAGATCCCCTTAAGCTGAGTTTTGCTCCTGTGTATACAGAATTCCTTAGTGATAAGTTGAAAAGCTCAACTGACATGTAGGGAACTAGGCAGGGGTACAGAGGAAGAATTAGAAAGGGTTCTGCAGAGGGCTGTGGCGCCCACAGAGGTGTCTCTGCACCTGCCCTCATGCCCACCCTGTCCCTGGTTCTGCTCAGGACCCGGGGCAGGTCAGCCTTGCTCCTCTGGGGCTTCTGTGGAAGGACATGCAGCGAATACCTCGGACTAAGTAGAAAAGGCTCCGCTGGGACCCAGACAGACCAAAGGTCATAAGACAAAAAGATACTTCTGAAAAAATGAGCTGCTAATCTTGTGCACCTGGGACATCAAGATGACACTCCAGCCTTAAACTCAGAGCTCATTGAAGCACATGCTGGGCTCCCCCTTGAAAGAGCAACCAGGCTGGGGATGGATGGAGCTGCACTGGTCCTCAGGCGTGCTTCCCACACTCAGAACCCCGGGCAGGGTGCAGGGTGACTCCCGCACGAGCACACCATTCCCTCTTTGTTCCAAAACAAGTGTGCACATGGAGT